GAACAGCGCACGGCCCAAGCTGACCACGCATTAGAGAGCTGTGTACATGGCAAACCACGGTGGAGAGCCGTATACATGGCAAACCGCATGAGAGAGCCGTATACATGGCAAACCGCGTCGGTAGTACAGCGGGGAACGTGCGTTTTCTCACAGCTGCCATCATAGGTCTGTTCCTCCCCCGCTGAGGGTTGAGCCTTTCATGCCCTGGGGAGGTGTGGAGGAGGGCGAGCGCCGCTGCGTCAATGCACCGCTGCACCAACTCATCAAAGGGCTTTTCCACTACGGCGGCGACGATGACATGGAAGGGATCGAACGCGAGTTATCGTCGCCCACTGACAAACAAACATCCAACTTGCACTTTGCCGAAGCAGTTTGCTTGGACCTCTTGGGTATAACCTCCGTTGCCTTTGGCGTCCCTGACGAATGGGCTGCGACCTTAGCCACTGTAACAAGTGGCGAAGGTCGTACATGTTTTTAAAAAATGGTTGTTTTAAGTCGTCGGCAACTTTTGCGATGGATTGTACATTTTCAGTTGTGCCGTATGTCGGCGTCGTGCGGGTCTTGAGGTGGAGGGGTTCCCGTTTGGAATGTTGAGCATTAAGGAGTGGTTCAAGATTAGTTCATGTTGGGTTCGGTTACGGTGTGAGCATTATGAAATCAAGTTGTCATGTGCGTGCAAATGTACCAATGAATTATATTTTTTTAGCAAAGCAACAGTGTTAAAAAGCAAGCAGAAAGTTTGACAGTTGTATTGTATAAAATTGAGAAACTAATTATTAATCATAATATTCGTCGTGAAAGCCCACGTTTACATTTTATTTTTTTTATCTGATTCAAGTTAAAACAAGTTATCAAGCTCCATTTTTCGGCACTCACAGTGGTTTTTACTTTGAGCAGAAATTTTTTTTTCGAAAGAAAAAAAATTGTGTATCCCCCTCCCACCTTCCCCTCTTTTGTGTTTGCACCCCTGGACACCCCTGTGTCTGCCCACGTTTCAGCCATCCTCGATTGTACAGTTGCACTGAACATTCTAATTAAAATAATGATTTTAACATCAATCATTAATCAATCAATCCATCATGCTTCCTGTTTCCAGTGGAGTCTCGGGAGGTCACGACCTCTTGCGGGGGAGGGGGGGGGGTGTAGGCCAGGAGAATTTTAGCAGACAGATCTTTAATAACTTGGCTTGTTGATTATTAACAAATTTGAATGTTAAGAGTGGTATTTAAGTATTGGAAGAAGGTCATGTTGGCCATGCTTTCAGAGGTCAAAATGCGACACGTTTTGCCGTATAATCTCGTAGGAGATCAAGGCACTGAAATGAGTAGATTTTTTTCAGATTAAAAAATTTGACATTTTTCAATTTAACATTTTTTTAAGCTATTATGTGGACCAGTGGTTCTCAAACGCCAGTCCTCTGCTTTCCCCATGGGCCGTGTATCTCATGTTTACCAACACTGCACATTAAAACCTGAGTCGGGTCGCCGGGTTTCGTGGCACAGTGTCCTAACCGCTGTCCCATTGCTCCGCCCTCCGAATAATAATCCAATTTCATTTGCCAGTGGAAGTCGTGGCCAAAAAATGTCGGTGCGCAAGCCCGTGCATGGCAGGACAATCCTGGGGTGCGAGTCTCGATTTCAGCCGCCCGGTGATCGAACAGGTTTCTCAAGTGGACGGTTGAGTTGAAGGGTCTCAGGGCGCAGTTACCCACAAACTGTATTGGGAAAAAATAGATCGTCGTAAAATTTGTTTTAAGTGACTTAATTTGGGATAAATTCCATCTCTCACAAATACGTATATCGTTTTGACTGCTGTGCAACGCGCATCACTCCCAGTGGCAGACAACACCTGGTTTTCCCAGGCAGTCGCCCATCCAAGTATTAACCAGGCTCAGCCCCACTTAGCTTCTGAGATTCGGCCACATTCAGGTCGGTCTGGTGGCGGTAGGAATAATGCAGACATACGCTTCCCCCCCCCCGTGTGTGTAAAATACAAAGAATATTTCCATTGAACTTTTAACTTAAGATTTAAGCTCAACATTTCCCATTGTGATGTTTTTAATTCATTCTGCGATTTAATTGCTCGCCCGGTAGTTTTCGGCGAGCGATAACGGCCGACGTAGCCCACGCGGCCCCTTTGCCAGCAGCACGCATCTATGCGGAAGCCCTCCGGATAGAAAATGAAATGCGAAGGAAACATTGTTGGAGTGCCTGGAATTGTTCTGGCTCATCGTGATAAGAAATATATTTCTAATTAGTTTTGGCTTGTCCTTGAAAGAAAAAAAGAATGGGGAAGAGGAAAAAAAAAGGATAGCAGGTAATTGGCGCAGACTTGGTAGATTGCAAACTGCACACGGATGGTTGGCCCGTAAATGTATTTGCGAGCCATTTAACGCGCCGGCAGTTGCTGACGCTTTCTCATCTTCCCTCCCTGCCCGCCCGCCCGCCCGCCCGCCCACCCTACGCACCACCTGGAAGTTATAAAGCGGCCACATTATTGGAGTTGCGCTGTAATTAGCTACACGCTGGGATTAGAATCGTGTCTCTCGGCATTTTATTGTTCCGTGACACCTGTCCACGTAAGGCTGCTTCTCTCCCCACGCCACCCCACCAAAAAAAAAAAATCTTGCATAATTATCAAATAGTAAGAGGCTGGCCCCAGGGAAATGCATGGTGTTTCATTTACATATTTGCGGGTTTTTGCCGAGTTATGTATCTTTCATACGTCCGGTGGTTGTGCTGCTCTCATCGTCTGCAACTCCCGCCCTGCCCCCCCCCCCCACTCCAGATGTCTGTGCTGTTGGATCCCTGCTGCTATTCAAGTAAAAGTTCAGGCTCTGAAGGCCTTCGCTTTCTCCTCTGCCCATGATTGTTTCTTCGAATTTTAGCGTGACGACATTTCACATTGGTACAAAATGCCGCCGCGACCCTCACCAGGGCAGGCGGACTGAGGAACGAACGAAAACGAACAAAATGTAAACAATCAAATGATTTTAAACGATTACAAATTAGTCTTGAAAAACATCTGAAACTCATCATCACGATCCATGGGCAGATAGCCCGTAGTTGCCCACTTCACCAAATCTGTTATATTCTAGCGAGTGGCAATATGTTCAAGAGCCAAATGTTAGTGTCGAGGCCTGCTACCCACGAAAAGGGCTTCAAGAGAGAGTTAGTGTAGTTCGTTTGCTGTTCCTACTCCTCCATTTAAGGGGAGGGCAGAAGAACTCAAGTGCTTTCATATGTGGTCGTAGTTTGGGTTGCATTGCCACAATCGCACCACTCAGTCTTCTCTTTAATCTTGCTTTCATGAAGGAGGGGTGTGCCCATCGGCCTTTTGATGTTCTCAAGTGGCTGATCGTTACAAAATCAGAATTTTTATCTACGCTGGAGGAATCCGATGAGCTACACAACTCTTTTTTACAGAAGACACATGGTGTCTTCGAGGTGGAGGAATATCAAAACCAGAAGGTGCAAAGTTTCTAGGACTCGACCTTTCCTTCACGATGCACGCCCCACACCGCCGCTGCGCAGCGTCCACGAGACGTGCGTGCACTTCTGACTCTGTGGATCCAAGCTGTGATTACATCGCAACTTGTCGTGCGCAACGCGCGGATCCGAATAGCCGACGGTGCGACGTCCCGCGGTTTGACGGGCCACTCGGCCTGCGCGCGCGATCGCCGTCCTCCCTTAAGCGCTATCGACTTCCGCGCGCCGTGTCGATGCATCTTGGGGGTAATTGGCACCATCTCGGGGCAGTTGGGGGGGGGTGCATCGATGCCATTACTCGTTCCCTTAGATTAGGTGGCGCCGATGATTATTTCGTAGGGCCAACAAAGAGCAGACTGTTGGAGATTCAAATTATTATTTGGTGATGCTACGTTGGCAGCGCTGCACTGTAAACAGTAATGGCACATGTGCCATGAATAAGGGCCATTTCCCGAAACATCACCTATCATATTTTTTCCTTTTAGCGCCACTTTTTTTCTTTTTTTTTTCTCTCTCTCTTCTTGTTCTCTCTTGGCGCAGTGGTAACGCTCGTGCCTCGTAGCAGGAAGGACAGGGCTTCGATTCCCGACTCCGGATGCCTCTCTGTGTGATGTCTGTACGTTCTCGCCCTGTTCTACATCGGATTCCTCCAGGTTCTCTGGTTTCCTCCCATAGCTTAAAGCAGTAAACATATGTCTTCTTGGTTCTTTCGGTAAAGTCACAAAGAATGGAAATAATAAAATAATAAAAATTTAATGTTTCGGCCACAACGCAAGGCCAAAACGTCGTGAGAATTATTTTATTATATTTTATTTTTATTATTTTATTACTTCCATTCTTACGTGACTTTACCAAAAGAACCAAGAAGATGAATCCCTGCAGTCACGAAAGCTTTAAATCGAAAAGTAAACACATGTACAATGTCATTGGTGTTAGGCCAAACATCCCATTGTGGCAGGACCCTCCTGACTAAAGAGTCTTCCACAGTGTTAGCATGTCGAGCGTTCACTTTTCATTGGGAGATGCAGTGCTCAGTGTTATTCCACCAATCCGTTTGGCTCTATCCGACCAAGATGTATGTGGAGCGATGCAATCGTTGAACACGCAAGGGGGGGGAAAGATACGGCTTGTCACAAGATACGGGAAGCACCCTCATTCAACAGCGGATTGGAAACAAATTGTTCTGCCGTAAAAAAAATTGACGGGGTAGCTGGTAAGGTGATTTGCACTCGGTGAAACAGTGATGATTTACATCGCGCAAATGTTCTCATTCTCATCATTATCGTTTGGAAGAGGACAACACTTCAGAGTCTCTATCTGCCTGCCCATCCATCCAATTGCCACCGTAGGCTGCAGCATGGTCACACAGACGCACACCGACCGCCGCCATCATCGAATGCTCATCCGGTGGCAGCGCGGCGGTGTGTTGGTACCCGTCGCCCGCGCCGTCGCCCCCGTCCACTCTCATCGTCTTTATCCCTCTGCCCCTCCACCCTACCCCCGACCCTCCAGGCGGCGGTGGCTATCAAACAAATCGAATGGCAGGAGCGCTACCCCATGGACTTCTACGCCAACGAGTCGCTGGGGCCGTGGACCGTGAACCATGAGTCCCACCGGCCGGCCCGTCCGCCACGGAGAGCACCGGTGAGCCGGGGGTAGGTGGTAGGGAGGAGATGTTGCGCCTCGCGTCCAATACGCACATCGACAACCGTGCTAATTGGAGGTGCGGACGCACTTGCGGTTTGGTTTTCGCGCGTTCCTTTTCGGTCTTCGGCGATTGTTTTTCTTTTCGCGGTTGTTCGGGTCAGCGCCCGTAACGGTGTTGATGACGATAATTTCGTTTCGCATAGCGTCATCGGTGCGACTGCATCTCACGACGACGACGACGGTGATGATGATTTACACGATCGCAGAAGCGGCAAGTCGCTTACAGAATGAGCTCGTGAGCACGGTCACGAAGCGTATAGATCGGAGAAAGTCACAAAAAAGTGCGGAGGTGTGTATGCGTAAATACATACACGCATGGCAAGAGGCGTTTATAATGCTGACGGGGTCGAACTTTCATCTCATCACGTGGCCTAGAGCATCGACCTCAATGACCAAAAACTCAGAATGCACTCCCGCCCAGTAAATGTGGAACATTGCGCCACCCAACGTTGAGCTGTCGTTGCACCAACAGTTTCTGCCGCTTGTCGACATTTTCGTTCCAAGTTTCAAAAGTAACTTAATTGAAGAAAAAAAACACATAGCAAGCCACGTATAGACCATGCATTAGCCACCATATAGCCTCCCTACCAGCAGACTACGCTTGTCTGTGAAACGGCAGGCATGCTTGATATAGCTTCGCGCTGCGAGTACTGCGCGAATACCAAGTGTGCAAATTTTTTTACCGTCGCCATGGCAAATGAAGACTCGGCACGGCACTCGATCCTTTTCGTTGCATTTCCTTGGACAGCTTCACGTAGAAATCCTCAACGGGTGAAACTCCCGCTACCGGGTGCGCTCGATAATTTTAGGAAAATACTCTGAAATTAATCAATTCTCGTGACCAAATCACCGGCGCCCGCACCAAATCTCGTCGGACACTCAAAAGCTAAGCAGGACTGAAACCTGGACAATACTTGGATGGGCAGGCACCATGCATATCAGGTGTTTTAGGCCGCAGAACTACCCTGTGGGCAGCAGCGAGCCGTGCAGCTAAATACACCGGTCTAATCACGGGCGGCGGCTGAAATCTGTATCTGAACCCATGGTTCCAGCTCGGTGTCTCTGACCGCTGAGCCACCTGGCAGCCCCTCCTCGACAGCCGTGTTCAAAAATCACGAGCGCCACACCCCCCCCTCCCTCTCCCATGCCTTCCCCTCCCCCCGGTATTTGCGGACGACTCTTGGCTGTGACGCCACGAAACCTCTCGTCTCGGCTCTTTGTCCCGCCGCGGGATTCGAATTGGCATTGTTTTTATTTATTTTTGGGCCCCCGCCACCCCTCCCCGTAATGCGCACGCGGTAATTCCTCGCTCGGCGCGGGCTCTTGTCGAGAGCGCATCTGCTTCCCGCGTTCGACGAGGATGTTGGCGATCGCGCGCGGCGGTCGCGCGCTCGCATGCACGGCTTCCCGCTCACGCCCCCTCCCCCCCCGCCCCCCCCCCCCACCCTCCGCCCCCGCACAACGCCCGTGGCCCCACGGAAACTCCCGTCGAGAGCCACCTCCTTTTTAGACGCACGCTGCCCCCAAAACATTGCTCAAGGAAGACCCGCAGGCAGATGGACTTAACGCGTCGTAATTTTTCCTCTTATTCCACAGTCACCGACGAGAGCGACCCTTGCCCGCAAATTTATTTTAAGTTACGGCCGTTTTAAAAGTACGACTCGTGCGCGGATCTGCGAGGAGGTGGTGGTGGCGCCTTGCGAGCTGGCTGGGCTGCGAGGAGACGCGGGGGTCGATCTGCTAATTGAGGATAAAAGCGCCGGGTTTCTGCTTGCGAAGGGGGGTAACACAAGCCGCCCGCTATCCATTCCGCACATTAACACCTTGCCATAGGTCGAGTCTCTCTTTTAGCTGGATACTGCTGGAGCGTCGCGAGAAATCCGCTAATCTGTGGTCCTTTTACCCGGCAGCAATACTATATGCAGGATGCTGCTAATGGTCACCATACTTACGATCCAGAGGTCGCCAGCTCGATTAAATGTTTTCGGGGCTGAGCTACAGAAAATAATACCCTCGCCTCCTTCGCTATCGGGTGGTTGGGTTGCGGCAGGGGCGGGGGGGTGGGGGTGGGTTGGGGGGGGGGGGCAACGAGCGAAAAAAAAAGTTCCATGAAAAGGAACCGTTGGGCGTACACATTCACAGTGCCTGGGGAGGCGGACCGGGATGGAATTTAAGAAACGTTCCGTCGATTCAACTGCCGTCGTCTCCGCGAGAGATGGAACCGAACCGGCGACCTCTGGGATCGCGTGTCCAGTGTGCTCCGGCTGTCCGTTACGCTGCGGGCAACGTTCACGCTTTTGTCGAACGTTGTGTTTTTTTTCTCTCACCCCCCCCCTTCATCGTCCCCCCGCCCTCCCCATCCCCCCCCCCCGTCACTGGCGCAAACAGGGGACGGGCAGAGCGGGCGAGCTGGGTAATGCTTAATCACCCGAACGTTTCCTGGGGGGGGGGGGGGCGGCGTGGCCAAAAACGGCACTGCTGGGGCCCCGAGACATTAACCAAGAAGACACAACACCAAGGGCACGGTTATTGCCTCGCCGCATTAATTCTGAGCGCGTAGCGCGGAATCAAAAGCCCCACGTTGGCTTGGAGGAGGATGCTTGTACGCGCCCGGGCCAGTTTTGCCGATTCCACTGCTGGACCAGGGACTCCCTGAAGCTGCAGCCTTCAATCGGAGCCATTAGCAGGAGAATACATTTAAACAGGAAACGTCTTAAATTTCGATTTAAAGCTTTCGTGACTGCAGGGATTCATCTTCTTGGTTCTTTCGGTAAAGTCACGTAGAATGGAAATAATAATATAATAAAAATAAAACATAATGCAATAATTATTTTCTTATTTTGGTATGGAAATAATAAAATAATAAAAATATACCATTATACAATAACTATTTTATTATGCTTTCTTTTTATTATTTCCATTCTACGTGACTTTACCGAAAGAACCAAGAAGAGGAAACGTCTTATTTACGTGGAAAGCGGCGACAGCAACTTTATATTTGCGTCGACGTCGTCGTCGTCATCGTCGGTTTTCTATCCACTGCTGGATGAAGGCCTCCCCCACACCGTCACCATCCCACACACTCCAGCGATGCCACAATCCAAGCTGATCTCATCACTCCGTCTCTGCGGTGATGGTCGCCCCCTCCGGAACGTTTCTTTCCTTTTGCTGCCTTTCTGTCGCCAGTGTTGTCATCCAATGAGCTCTTGCGATGCGTTCGAGCCCAAACCACTTACTTTTATGTAAGATAGCACTCATTACGCATGAAGTGCTTGTCACAAATGAACCACAATACTTCTAGATTTGAAGCTTTCGTGACTGCAAGGATCCATACTCTTAGGTTTTTTCGGTAAAGTCATGTAGGGAAAAATAAATTATAAAAATAAGAAACAAATGCTGAAGTGGGCAAATGCTCAAGTGTCCACTTCAGCATTAGTTTCTTGCTGTGGTTGTCCCACCTGATGACGGACGCTTGTGTTGCGCCCGAAACGTCGTACTTTATTATTTTATTTCTATAATTTTATTTATTTATTTCCCCCTACGTGACTTTACCAAAAAAAAACCTAAGAGTATGGACCACAATACCTTGCTGATCTCATCAAGGAGCGTAAACCATCATCACGCGAAATCCGGTCATCTCGCAGCGGCTTTTGGCTGACTGTCGAATAAAGACGGTCACCGCATCGCGCGCTTTCAGATGCCCTTTTGCGGCTGTCTGGAACCCTCTTCCTTCCGATATGAGGAAGGCACTCGGAGCTATGCACTTTAAAATCTAGATTGAAAACGAATTTCTTTAGAAGTGCTTTTTGTGTTTAGTTTGTTGTCCTCCGATTCGCACGGTTGGCTATGTACCGTGCGAAAGAAGTTCAACGTACATACATCAACAGTCAACGCATTGTCTGTGATTTGCATTTGTTCCCTGATCCATGTGTTGCTCATTCCGTCTCTTGGCGTAATTCCCAGCGTGCACCTTTTGTTTTCGCGCTGCTTTGTGCACTCACCAGCTCCTGTTCCATTTTCTTTGCCACTGTCCACGTTGCTCATTCATACGTCAAGATTTGCGTGCGATGATTCGAACGGAAACGCAGGAGGTGCGCGTTCGTTTAAACAACAGTGGCATTTATCAAACATCTCATCGGCTACGTTTTACCTTATCTCGAACGTGAGAGAAAATTCGTTTTTCTCTCTTGCAGCCAGCGGCCAAACTACTGCTGCCAACTTTTGAATTTTCCATTCCTGCTTTATTGGTGTAAAGCGGTGGCACAGCGGTTCGCACGGCGCGCTATAAACTCGCCCGGACCCTCGACTTGGTTCTCTGCCACGGCTAACATCAATGGCACCACGATGGCGAGATGTTGATTACCTCACCTGGTATACCGGAGGTCGTGGGTTCGATCCCAACCCTGATGCCTGCGGCTGTATATTTGGAGTTTGCATGTCCCTCTCTCGTGGTCATGTGGATTCTTCTCCGGGTCCTCCAGTTTTTCCCTCCACATTTATAATCAACATGCATTTTAGAGTATTCGGCTGCTATAAATGTCCATGTGATGATAAGCCACTTCGTTGAGATATCATTCGTGGCCAGGTCGCTTTTGATAAAGAGCTTAATAGCTCAATGGGAATTACCTGGAAAAATTTAATTGAAAAGTATAGTTTTTAGTTTAGAATGATATCTGAAGCCCCAACTCATCAAGTCAGTCCACTACCGGCACTGACCAACACGCTAAATTATAGCCCAACAACCCCCTACTGACACGACATGGGGAGGCCTGCACCCAGCAGTGAGTTGCCAAATGGTGGTACATAGTTGTTATTTATTTTCAGTGCTAAGGGTGGCATTGTTGGGGGAGGGGGGTTGTTTTCGTCCATACTTCACCACTTTCGGCAATGCAGGTTGGTGAGCTGAGCGCAACCGGCCTGTGGCACAGCCTCCGCTC